GCCAGCGAGAAGAGGAATGAAGAGAGAAGAGGTTGGAAGGAAATGTGGAGAAGAAGAACAGATGAGCAAAGAATACGGACCAAATATGGACGGTCTAAAAGGAACAATAACAGTGAAAACTGTTTGTTATCTTCTTTGCATGTTGCAGCTCCCTCTCTAGTCCAAGGATCAACAGGCCCTACCTCTTTGGTTAAAGTCAGGTATCTACAACTACTGGAATCCCATTTACACTTACATTTAGACTGTTCCCCTTGAGACGGAGAGAGAAGCAGCTCCAGCCGTTTCAATGCATGTGATGACTGAGCTGATTTGTGATCTGTGTGGGTCTGAGTACATTAATCTGTGTTGGTGAGGGGAGACTATAAAGCTTTTGCCTCACTCACACATCATTCATGTGTTTGTGTTGTTGTTTTGCCAATTATGAAACAGCTTCAGGTGAGTTACCGGCTCCTCCTGGACTGGAGGAGGACCAACCCTGATTTGCATGTTGTAATCAAGACGGATTGTGATCAGACTCATGATGTGGTTAGTGGAGACACATCTGTGTGGCTAAGTGTAAAGTATTAAATGGCATCTAGATTTTAGCCAAATATACAGAACAATTGAAATGAAAATTATAAACTGGATTTTATGGAAATATTGTTGTCATTGAAGACACTTAGTGTAAACAGAAGACAGGATGCAAACAACAATCTGTTGTGTCAGAGTCAGATGCTTCTTTCTAGAGTTAAAAGGACCACGAATTGCTTAGAGTTGCAGTGTTTGTTTGTGGTAGCATCACTCTACTTATTCCTTTGCTCTTCACAGACGACTGTCATCGGCTTATGGTTACGTTTGCAGGGAAACAGGATGGAGGATTCAAATGCAAACAAAAAGATCAACAGATTCAATTCAGAGATTTATCCAAAAAATGAAAGAGAGGCTTACTGAATGGTGAGGGCGTCAAAGATCAAAATGGAAGAACAAAACAAGGTGCTACAAAACAGATGAACCAATCCAGCCATGAATCCAAAGCCCAAAAACACAGGCAAAAACTCAGGAACATGAAAGAGCAACTAAGAAAAGCACAAAGAAACACCAGGGGAACGAAAACAGGCGAGCTGAGAAAGAGTGCGGGGAACACAGAGACTTAAATACACAAGGGAGGCAAAGGTAATTGGGAACAGGTGAAACATGTCATGGCGGGGCAGGAAAAAACAAAGACAAGATGTAAAACAGACAACCGACACACAAGGAAGTCGTTTCCATGGGCAGGCCATGCCACTTATCAGTAATAGAAATGCAAATTTGTATGTAACTGTAATATTTAGTTGGACCAATAAATATCATTTTAAAAAATGCCAGCATTGTCTCACTTTTTGTCAAAATAAGTGTGCCATCGGAGTAATTTGAAATAGGATTTCTACACAGTGTCCTTTAAAATGTTAAATATATGTTACAGGTGAACCTGATCAGTGGAGAAGCAACATTTCGACATTTGAGATCAGATCAGTGATATCAGGCATATTGCGTATGATGGCAGAAGAATGAATGAATAGAGAGGGGTAAAAAAAAAAAAACGACAAGGAGAAACTGGAGGACAGGAGGAGCGGAAGTGTCAGGGGGAAATCGAAAAGGAGGACGGAGGAAAGAGGAGAAGGCGGGAATAGCCGGCGGAAGGAGGCGGGCAGAGGCGCTGTCCTTTGTGGAGTGTGGAAAGGTCAATTAGACAGTTTACAGGCCGCAATGGCGCAGAATTACACACACCACACACACACACACACACACACAAACACACACACACACACAACCTCAGATGCACACTTATACATGAATGGAGGTTTGAATTTCATTAACGGGCTGCCAACTCACCCATCAATTAGCATGAATAAGATTGTATCACCTCTCACTGAGGGAATAGGCGGCCTGCAATCACAGCTACGTGCTGTGATGAAGCCTTGTATCTCCCAGGTCTGCACTTATGTTGTCAGTACATTGTAAAACAAAAATTCATATTAGCAAGTCCTAAATAATTTTTCCTCAACCTTGAAGCAAAAATCTGTCTGTGAAGTGATAATTGCGATGATATTTTTTCACCGAGAACATTCTTAAATCAGGTGATATGAAGCAGAAAAACATCTGTATGAAAAAACTGCAATGTCAATAATAAGTAGGTAAAAGAGGACTTGAGAAAAGTACAACACTGAACAGTGTCAAAGTGAGGAGATTAATGGTAGGATGGTGACAAAGGACAGGAGAGATGAAAGAGAGAAGAGGGATGAGAGGACGAGGACAGGCTCGATGGGTTGTCTCCCGTGGCAACCCTGTGTTGCCGATGTACACACACACACACACACACACACACCCATGAATATTCACAGAAGTAAAAGGGAGAGAGGCTCATACTATATTCATGCCATTTTCAATAAAGCATATTTCAATTAGAGGCCAAGAGATTTTTTATATCAATTAATGTGGTTTCAATAATACATATTTAAATTAGAAAGGAGGAGAGGGGGGAGGGAAGGCAGAAAGACAAATTGGAGGAAGGAGATTTTGCTATAATACGTAAAGGAGTAGTTGGACATTTTGTGAAACAGGCTGATTTGTTGTTATGTGAGAGTTAGATGTTAAGATTGATATCACTGTCATGTTAATAGGGATAAATGTTAAGCTAATTGTACAGCAGCCAGTTAGAGCAGCTGGCTAGCATTGGCTTAGCTTAGCTCAAAAACTGGAACAAGGGGGGAAAGAGCTACCTTGGCTCTGTCCAAAGGTAATAAAATAAGTAGTCGCACAAAAGCACACAACTGTGGTTTTTACACTGGCTCATTTTTTGTATAGATTAAGCAAACAACTAAGCTTAAGCGATGCTTATCTTTGGACAGAGCCAGGCTAGCTGTTTCCCGCTCTTTGCAGTGTTTGAGCCAAAGTTAAGCTAATGCTAGCTATAGCTCAAACTTCTCCCACACGCGTGAGTGTGGTATCAATCTTCTCATCTAACTCAGCAAGAAAATGACGAGGTGTATCTCCTGGAACATCTAACTGTCCCTTTAAAATGATTACATACGTCCTGCTCACTGTTTCCTCCTTCAACATACCAACCTTCCATATTGCTGTATAATTTCATACATCCATGCTGAAACTGGTCGTTTTATCTGGTTATCTGAGTCTCTTTCAGAGTGAGTGATGCTTACCTTGGATTGAAGGACACACACAAGCACACACACACACACACACCATAGAATACAATAAGTGTGTGTTGCAGTGGTCCTGCAGGGTGATGGACATTTACCTTGTGCTAAAGGTTATGTCACTCCCATCGAGAGGCCCCAGCTGACCTTGACTAATCACACTGTGAAACGTTTTCCCTCCTTTCTGTTATAATCTCTTTTTTTCTGTCTTTTTCTAATATGTATTTACCCCTGCAACTCTTCCATATCGGCCATACAGTGAGGTTACACACTAACATATGTATCTGTGTTTCTGACTGCTGCACAGTCACAGCATCACATAACAGGATTTGTTGTTTTCCTGTCTGATTAAAGTGTGAACATGTGTGTTTTAATCAGTTACTTGACTTTAAATCTTAAAATAAGAACGATAATAAAAATGTCTTTATCTAAGCGCTGTTTATCAGTACAAACGGCAGATTGAAAGCACACAAATGGTGACAAAATGCCAAAATAAAATCATCAATATACATGCTTCTCCCACTGGACCCTTTCTCATAGACCCAGACACACACCATTCATCAGTATAGCCATCTAAGAATAACTGTACACATTACATCATAGCTGAAGTAAATCCACGTCAGCATAAAAGAAATCAATACACACTCTGCAGTTGAAACCATTATATAACCATGCAGGATGTTATCACTGAATAAAAAAGCAACTGAGTATCAGCCCAGTATTATAGGAATCACATTCACATTGGACGATTCTGCAGTTCTGCAGTTTACAGTTTGTGTCCAATGCCAATGTTCAGTGCTGGCGCAGGAAGAAGTGTTCCTGTATGTAGTGAGGTGGCATATACAGGTAACCTGCAGTTAATCTGATAACCATGATCTTTCCATTGCATATTAAGCAGTTTGTTTGCCCTATTTTACTACAGTCTTACCTTACCTTTAAGCATTTTGTAGTTGCCCTGCACAAACACTGTACAAAACAAGAATTATAAATATGTTGTCAGTGAACGTAATCTAGCGGAATCGTCCTTCACTAATGTTGCTTTGGGGCGATAGGATCGCAGACATAATAGAATAAGGGTCCCCTCCAGACATGTTTCAAAAGAGCACAGAATTAACATCGCACCCCCATAACACTGTTATTATTCCTTAATTAATGTGGAATGTGCAGAAAGGATCAGGGCGTTAACGGAGGCCCAGCGGGTCGTTTTTGCCCACGGTCACTTAGCAGGTTAATTCAGAGCTCTTGTCTAAAATGATTTTTCATTGATTGTATTACTGTATTGGCTGATCAGTTGTTTATTTGTATCCCTGTAAGCTTATAAAGAGAATTTCCTGGCAATATCTGTCATGTAAATGGCAACCACATCAAACATCAAAGCACATGAGCCAAAGAGTGAACTCAGGTCTCCAACTGTCAGTCTCAAAGGCTGAAGAGGGAGAAGTAACTTCACCTGGGAGAAGTTCCTCTTATACAATTATCATGTGTATTTTCCCGTTTTGCCTGCTCGTTTGTTTTTCCTCTTTAGCTTTACTGACACCCCCACTCCCCCCCCCCCCCCTTTATCTCTCTCTCTCTCTCGCGCGCCAGAGAGAGGACGCGAGGGCACAGGCGCGCCCGCGTGCGCGCGCAGAGCTCTTTTATTTTTTTTTACTTTTTTTAATTTATTATTTTTTTTTATTGACAAGCCGCTCCGTCGAATCAGATGAGAAGGACCCACCTTTAAACGGTGCCCTGGCTAATCGGCGCGCGGGGGAGGCGACCTTCATGCAAATGTGTTGGCAAGGGAGACGCAGCGGTTCATTCATCTTCTTCCAGAGAGAGGTGAGTTAACACGAAGGTTATTTTACATGAGGGAGGGACTGTTTTGGAGCAACAACAATAACCTGCGAATAACTGGGAAAAGCAAAGAAGACGCTTTTGATTCATAGCTGAAAAGGAGCGTTTGTTTTCTTCCAAATATTACAAGGTAAGTGGAGGACATTTTTGTTTTTTTTTTTATTTGTAAACGGTCTCTCGTCGTTATGTTAATGTGTGCAGGTGCTGGTAAAAATGTGTCCAAATATGCCCTTTACTGGCTTACTAGCAAAAGCAATGAGTGATGAGAGAGGAAGTCATGGACATTGTTTTGCTGGGCTAATATCCAAGGTGCTGCACCATGAAGGGGGGGGGGGGGGGGGGGGGGGCAGAACCCTTAAGCCTGTCAGTGTTACACTTATCTAGCACTATAAGCGAGTTAAACAAGGCTTTAATTATACTGAACTGTCTTGTTGAGCAGTTAATCCCTCCTGTGTCTTGCTCAAGGACACTCAGGGCTGTAGAGGCAATTGAACCTGGGACCATTGTTCCATGTTGAAAAGAAAAGAGACACTTTGCTGAGACTGAGGCAGAAAAAACAATACCATGCTTATATTGTGCTGGCGTGTGTCAAAATTTGAGGGTCATTTTTATTGAATGCTTCATAAAGCCTATGTTGGATGGATGAATAAACTGTTAGAGTCTCTATAGATGAGAAAATGCAGGGAAGTCAGAGAATGTCCTTCATGCTCTGGGAGCAATTAATGGTTGAACAAAATAAGGCGACCTGTGTGTCGCACCGCTGAAACTGGACTCTGACTGTGTCTTTCACATGCAGGGCATAAATAAGCATGATATAGGCATGTCAAATGAATTATATGTATATTTACTTGCAGCTATGGGGTCTGATTGTCCTCTGAATTGCTCTGTGTTTTACAAACAAGTGCGTTTACATCAAGAGTTTCTTTTCGTGTTTGCAAAAGAAGCTTATAGTTGCAGGTCTCAACTGTTTTGCCTTCAGAGTCATCTCCTGTGTGAGTGAAGAGAAAGCCAATGACTGAACAAGTAGTTTAGTTTTGTCACCATATTCCAGTCCTCTGTGGATGACACCAGGACCTGCACAATCAATAGCACCAGCTTCCAATGTGTGCAGTGTGTGAGCTTGTTCACATTACCGGTGGCCTTCATGCGGCTGTGCATCAAAGGGTCATATCAGATGAGTTATTGCATCATAGTGACTGGCTGTGTGTGTGTGTGTGTGTGTGTGTGTGTGTGTGTATGTGTGTGTCTGCGCATTTGTATTCCTTGCTGGGTCTATATGTGATGTAGTGTTCATTTACAGGACAAAGCCATCAAAGCAGGGCTCTGTGAAAATGGAAAGACACAAACAAATGCAAACACACACCCATGATGGGCACATCCATGACAGACAGCTGGTGGCAGTGACAGCTCAGTTTGGCTCTGTAGCCCTTTGGCTGCCGGCCTTTAACTGAACAGGAGCAGGTCTTTAGTGCATGATGGGTATCAGAGCCGAAGGGTACACATTTTAAGCTCTGTAGTTTTTTAAACTAAGTGCATATTGACTTAAAGTGATGGAGTATATTAATACAGACACACAAAGGTGCTGTAGCAGAGTGATTGCTTGTAGTCTTGGCTTTTATTACGCCCCAAAAAATACAGTTGCTTTACTTCTACTGAAACCCACTTTTACACTATCCACAGACTGTGTACAGTTCTCAAGAGTCAGGCTGTCTCAAGTGGTGCTGAGCATCCCACAAGGGTGATATTACAGTGGCACAATTTAGATCTCGTCCATACGACCTTCTCCTCCAACATATTCGCTAAAACCAGCATATTATCATAAATTATGTTATTGATATCTAATATAATATACCTTGACATGCCCAACCAGTCATTGTTTTCAGCATATAAACTGCAGGATTGTTCACATACTGTATATATAGTTGAGGTTGACTTTACAGCAAGCTACAGGTGGGCGATCCGGCCAAAAGATCATATGACAATATTTCTGGGTGGAATCGCAATCCATCATCCGAATTTATGTGATCGCATGATTACTTGTGCAGGATTTTATTCTGAAAGTCTGCTTTAATGCTTCTTTCGGATGTTTTTCCACTCGCTGCTATACTCCATGGATTGTGCGTCAAACTGTTGCTGCAAAATCACGCCTGATCGTTAGCTCCAGTGCTCCATGCTAAAACTCTCAAGTACACTCTGTTGAGTGATAATCCAAATAAAGAGGACAGAACTTTCACTAATATAGTTTAGTGTTTTCTTATTGACCTATACTTTAAGACTTTAAATTAACACAAGCTCCCATTGCTCTCTTCTCCTCTATGGCATTTTTAAACACTACACTGTTACTGTATATTCTAAATAAACCTTTCCAGGGTTTACAAAGCTGCTACTCACTGGTGTATATTGTTTGGCTAGACTGAATACTTGGTCTTTGCAGTGACGTTAAACGTAGACATACACATACACTAACCCCCTGTTATTTACAATAGGAGGTAGAGAGAAGCTACATTTACACATAACAGCTGAATGACATATCACTGGATGGTAAAACACATGATTATAACCACTTCCTCTACTCTGGAAAGACCTATTGATCTACAATCTGTGGAGTACAATAATATCAGCTCGGAGCAACATGTTGCACTACAATTTCCTGTGTGTGTCTGTGTATATGTGTGTGTGTGTGTTGTTTGTTTTTCCTGTCTCGTCTTTTTCCTGACAGCAGTGGACGAATGACACTCACAACCACCCCACACTTTTGTGCATCTCTTTTTTTCTCTGCCTTTGTATCGCTTACTTTTTGTCGAAAGCCTGTCGCCAGGTGTACTATGCATCTGTCTCACGCATCACTGGATCATTATGTGCGTGTGCTTGCATGTGTGTGTGTGTTTGTGTATGTGCATGTATTTGTGCTGCTGCATGTGTGTCTCTTGACTGATTGATTCACCCATTAATGTCACATGCTTTGTTACCCAAGGAGATTTATGTTGGAATATGGAAATGTATGTGTGTGTGTGTGTGTGTGTGTGTGTGTGTGTGTGTGTGTGTGTGTGTTTCCGACATACACTACCAGCTCCTCAGAGTTCCGGCTGATAATGGTTGAGCAACAACAAAGGCATGTTGAGTGAAGGAGTTTGGCATAATTGTAAGATAACTAATGAACACCCACATTTATCAATGGACATCATTGACAGGGTATTTTCCAGTGCACACACCAGAAACTGTTGGGAAATATGAATAAAAGATGTAGAAAAAGGGCTGTGTGTTCAGTGGTTAGCACTTTCGTCTTACAGCTAGACGGTCGTGGGTGAGAATGTGTGTTTCCTCCCACAGTTTAATAAAAAAAAATGCAGATGAGGTGAGTCTAGACTCTAAAATGGTCCATAGGTGTGAATATAAGTGTGAATGCGTTGGTCTTTCTATATTGTTAAGTGTCAACCTGGTGAGGTGACTGACAATCTGTCACGGTATACCCTGCCTCTGGCCCGATGCATGCTGGGACATTTGTTATGCCTGCTGTGGTGGGTTTTTTTTTGGTGGCCTTAAAGGTTGAGTAAGTAATTCTAATTCAATACACTTTTTGAAGTGAAATTCAGTGAGTATCTTCTCACGGTCACCCAGTTGTCTGTTCAGTGTGTGTGCAGAATAAAAGAATTGGGTGTTCCCACACAGCCCTGGCTCTGTTGATGGGAAATAAACAAAGTGGCTCAGACTGAGCAACACAACACTATTCAAGCCAATCAGCAAATGGTGGCATTTGTAAGGGAGAGAAGAAGAAGAGGGGAGATGGGAGATGGAGGAAAAGGGGGCAGTGGGAGCGAGAGATGGTAAATCTGGCACATGCTAACGGATAGTGCCAATTTAACCAGGGGACGGAGTGGTCTACAATTCTGTTGCCATCAGACTGTACGGAGTTTTGAATGGGGTTGATTGGGACTGCAGATGAGAGATAAACGGCAACATTAAGGCAAGGGCATGGAAGCAATGTCTACCGGCGGTGTGACAGGGGTGTGTACTCCACGACATAAACGCATTATCAAGAAGGAAAAATGGCTGAGGCCAAAGAGGAGGAGGCCAGAAGAACAAAACTGAAAAAGAAGTGCTATAATCAGACAAGGGTGAAGAGCCGCAGGAACATCGAGGCTTTCCAATGGTGGAGACTGCACGGTTGGACTGGAAAAGAAATTCAGTACTGGACGCATCCGCTAGTACTGGCCCGCACCCCAAATGACAGGCACACAAAGAAGGCGGGTAAAGAGACTGGCAGAGATGGTAAAAACTTTATGGGTGTTTTGATATCCACCAGCTCAGTGCTGCACTGGCCCACCAGAATAAATCAACACATAATTCAACTGAGTGTCATAAAGGTTGCCAGTTAATCAAACGATTCATTGATTAATGGATTTGTCGTTACAGTTCTAATGTCATTTTACTGCAAAGCTTTTTACAAAAAGGTTGGTGTGGAAAGTGTGTGGCTTAAACTGCTGTTTGCAACCTTATCAAAACCATAGTCGCGACAGATTGGAAAATGGTGAAATTATTATTTTGTGTACAATAATTTGCAAATTATGTCAGTTACAAGTTACTAGGAGTAGCTATGCTTAGTTTAGGTATATAACTATAACTATATTTATATTTTAACAGACTGTTAACAACATTTTGTCAGCAAATAGGTTTTAGAGTGAAGTGTTTTACCCTCGTGATGACATTGGTAAGACATTAGGGTTAACTTTAGGATTTGACAGTGCAATATACACTGATCAGCCTCAACATTAAAACTGGTAACTTGTTTTAATGGTGTGGCTGATCAGTGTAAATTTTGTTGAAGCTGCATTAGATAAATTTTGAGTTATAGAATGCACTAAGACAGCAAAACAAATCACAGATGCAGTATATAACAGATACACTTATTATTATTTGGTTAATTCATTAGCAAACAGCCACCTATTTAAACATCCTGCAGACATATTTGGAGATCAGCTCTGTGTTTTCAGACTCATCAGTATATTAGTTTTATATATTAGGGTTAAATATGTGTGATTTTGGTTGTTCATCCTCACATTTTAATTTTGAGAAAGCAGGTTCATAGAGATTCCCCCACAGCCCCCATTGCCTTTTTACTGCATTTGACAT